GAGTATAATACTACCCCCCAACTTTATGGATGATTTTATGGATTTAATTTTACGTATTATACTTGAATAAATACGAAATATTTTTAAATGTAATAATGTCGACTAACGACATAAACTGGTTAAATTAAAATAAATTGGCTTTTAATTTTGTTATACAGCACGACAATATTAATATGAAGTTAACTGAAGTTTTGAGACATTTTAAAATGCTTTTTTTCAGAAACACATCCGACACTTACGCCAGGTGGCTGCGGTGCATGACTGCCCCTCTGAATAAGTGAAACATGCAACACAGTTGTTTACACTGAAATTAAAAATATTTGACCAAAGAAAACCTGGAGCAGGACTACAGAGAGAGAGAGAGATGAATATGATTTAGATTTTTATTTCTGTGACTGTATACGACCCACAGGAGACACAACATTAACAGCAGTCGTCATTTCATTCCTCGGCTTTAAAGCAGATCCTTTAATTCCACAGCTGACGCTGCTAAAAATGACTTTCTTTTTTTTGTGTGAATCTCCGAGAGCAGAACTCGGAACTAGTTCTTTTTACTTTGCCATGTCACTTATGAATGAACACTTCCTGGTATGTGGGACAGGAAACGTTACCTTATATGGTGTTTTTGGGGTGGTAATTATGCTAATCTCCTCTTCTCGTGCACGGGCACCTGATACACATACTTCAGTTTATGCTGCTCATTTACACACTTTTCCTGAAGATAGAAGAGTTTGTTGAATCTGACGTGACATGTTCGTACGAACCCTTCGTACGAACAAAAGTAAGAGAAATTTAGGAGAAGAATACGAACATGTTCTTGCATGAGGCCCACTGTTCTTTCCTCATGACACGGTCTGTTTAAAAAGAGCACCAGTCCCTCCTGCAGCAAAAAGACACAACATGAAGCTGTCACTCCCGTACTTCACAGTTAGGTGGTGCTTTTCCCTCCAAATATAACAATGGCCAAACAATTTGATTGTAATTTCTTCAAACCACAGGACATGTGTGCAAATATTAAAGTCTTTGTCCCTGTGTGCATTAGCACACAAATTTGACTTTTATTGTTGGTGATAAAAACTTCTTCACTCACTGATCTCCAGTGGTGGGCACAGTTCCCCTAAAGCACTAAAGCACTAATAGGGGAACTAATTTCCTGATTAGTGCTTTAGGGCTTTAGCTAATTTTAAAATTTATTACTGGATTAGCACTTGCTAAATTTATAGGCTAAATTTAGAAGCACTAACGAGGTCTATAAATGGTATTGATCAACATTATTGTTAACCACTGTGCACTATGTAAAATATTAATGTGCAACATGTACAACATCTTTGTGCAATAACTCTGTCAAATGTGAAAGAGCCGTACAGTGATGCCTTCATTTTATTTACATTCTATCTCTCCTTATTTTATTTTACGATTTTATGTTTCTTCTTTACATTTTGATATTGTAAATGTTGTTGTTTTTTTACTCTGCTCTATACTTTTTATTCAAACACCAGAAGGGAACATCTAATTTTGTTGTACTTGTTACAATGACAATAAAGATATATTCTATTCTATTCTATTCTAACAACTGACAGTGAAAGCTGATGCACATTTTGTTCACATATGTGTCACTTGGTGACAATATATTGACAATATATGAACACAAATCCAGCTGTGGAATGTCAATAATAAGTCTAAAGAGAACAACATGGCAATATGTGACTCATGTTTTCTGTTGAAGACTGTTCTTGGGTTGACTGGGTTATTTTAGTGCTTTAGAATTAGCTTTTGATAAAATTTTCAGTGTGTTAGTGCTTTAGAATTAGGGGACCTAAATATTTGAGTTAGTGCTTTAGAARTAGGGGACCTAAATWTTTGAGTTAGTGCTTTAGAATTAGGGGACCTAAATATTTGAGTTAGTGTTTTAGGGCTAGTGGAACCAGTGCTGCCCACCACTGCTGATCTCACACAAAGCAGCAGTGTGTTTATGTGCTTTCTCAA